ATGCTTTTCAAGTCTAATGCAGAAAAACTCTTCCCATTCTAATGTTTTGAGGCATTTTCCCTAATTTTTGATAGTCTCAAAGCTCCAAGTCTCACATTTAGAGCTTTAATCTATCTTGTAAAGAAGCAGTATCTTTGCTGGACTTTCCCTCCTCTGATTTTCCCAGTACCACTGACTGAAAAGACTGCTCCTTTGCCAGTGCATAATCTCAGCACCTTTGTCAAAGACTAGTCAGCTATAGGTGTGTGTGTTCATTTCCAGGATTTCTACTCTGTTCTCTTTTGTTCTGCTCTGGTCTAGCCTTGCTTAACCTAGCATATTCATCACCATGGATATTTTTAGGTTGGCACTATGCTATTTTAGTTAGTCTAACATTGTAATATGCATCAGTCAGGTAGTGTAATACCTCCTGTTTTTGTTTTGTTTTGTCCAGGAATGTTTGCCTGTTCAGGCCCTTTGTGGTTTTCTCTGGTTGCATAAGCACATCATTATTGTGGTTCCAGTCAGTACGTTTTCTCTAATTGTATAAACACGTGATTAAGATTTTGGAGGGCATTGCACTGACTCTGGAAAGCCACTTGGTTGATGTGCAAATTGTATTCATTCTCCTAATCCAGGAACAAGCTTTTCCATATCAGAAATTAGAAATGATTCTTTAAATGTTTGGTGGAATTCAACACTGAAGACATATGGCCCTAAGTGTTCCTCAATGGTAAAGTTTAAATTACAGGCTCCATTTTATCTGCTCTTTATTAATTTATTTATGTATTCTGTGAGGACATGATTCTATCTAAGTGAGAAGTATGCATTGAATAATTTTCCATTTCATATACATCATTGAAATTGTTGGCACATAATTAGTCACAATAATTACAAATGATCTTGTTATATTTTTGTTTAAAAAGCAAATACAATCTACATGCCAAGAAGTGTGCTTCCTGTCCTCTGATCCTCATAGCCAATGCTCCAATTCACACAGAGCTTATTGGACTGTAGGAGTCCTCTGCATTTCCCTCCAGCATCATTTTCTTGATGTAGGAAAGAATGCATTGCTTTTTACATCATATAATTCAGTGAAGCAATATTTGCAATTACATAAGAAATCAAATGATACAATTTTGTGTATTGCAGATTATTTAATGCAAGTCACAGAAAACGTGATATTTGTTTTGGAAGTCTTCCTTCTTTCATTTGATATTACTATCTACAGTCGCTTCTATTTTGTTACAAATGTCAGAATTTGACTTTTTACTGTTGTGCAATACACATCAAGCCTATATATACACTTTCTTTGCCCATTTACCAGTTGATGGACATTAAGGATGATTCTACACCTTTCCTATTGCGAACTGAGATGTTTTAAATGGGAGTGCAGGTAATGCTTTCATTTGCTGAATTTCTTGCCCATGTCACCATTAATTTCCTTCTTTCTTTCAATTCTGAATTCTCTTTCAGATGCTTTGTCAGTCTTCTCTTCTCCATAACCTGAAAAGAACATGCTATTTCATTGCTTTGGGAAGGCCATGTTCCCCTCACCTTCATGGTTCTCTGAGTCTATGTTGATTGCTGTGTGTCTGAGGAATTTCTTGTAACTCCTCAGTTGTGGTGGGTGGTGTTTTTGCAAAATGAACATTTTGTTCCTGGAAATGTGTTTCTGGGATTCTGTGGAGTGTCTAACTTTCACATTTGAGTTCCATAGCTGTGTGCTTGGAGTGAGCGAGTGAAGAGCAGAGAACTCTGGGTAACATTTGTGGGTGAAGAAAGAGTACAGGTACTTGGACATGATGGAACACTTCTGGCCACACTCAGTGGTGGGAGGGACAGCTGTAGCTGAACGGCCAGCCTCTCTCTGCGCCAGGATAAACCAGCTGACTCACAGCTTAGATGATGCTGGCAGCACACTTCATCCACGCACACATTTATCCATTCAGAGTACCAACACATTCCGCAGGGTCCCTTGATCCCTTCATGGTATCCATCTCTAACATGCAGTGTGCTCCAGTCTCTGACTACTTACAAGGCAGCTGCATAGAGGCAGCAGCCCAGCCACACCCTAGCTCCACTAGCTCAGTGGCCTGTTCCAAAACTCCCCACATTTACGGAACACCACAACCTTGCTCTCGTTCATACAAGTGTTCCGTCACCAGGACTGCCATTCTTGTAACTATAATAGCCTTTTAACTAAACTTAGCCAGCCATGGAGATTTGCATATCCAGATCCACACCTTTCAGCACATGTGGCATCCCGTCCCCCCCCACACACACACAGTCACAAGCAACTCACAAAATTTATCAGAAATCTACAAGTCAATTCTGTGGTCTATCGAGACACTTGGAGGGATCTGGGAGACACACAGCACCCTCATGTAATATTTCATGTTTGTTATATTAAGCACTACATCTATTTTGCAGGTACATATATTTATATTTTGCACTACAAAATATATACATATTTTTTGCGCTACATATGTATTTTTTTCAAGACTCATTTCTTTTTTGTAAGATTTACTTATTTTTATTGGAAAGTCAGATATACAGAGAGCAGGAGAGACAGAGAGGAAGATCTTCCATCCACTGGTCACTCCCCAAGTGGCCACAATGGCTGGAGCTGAGCATAACTGAAGCCAGAAGCTGCAGGAGCCTCTTCCAGGCCTCCCACACAAGGTGCAGGTTCCCAAGGCTTTGGGCCATCCTCAGCTGCTTTCCCAGGTCACACCCAGGGAGCTGGATGGGAAGTGGAACATCTGGGCCTTGGACCAGCACTGATTTGGGATTCCTGCACATGCAAAGACTTCGGCCACTATGTGGTGGTGTCTAAAGACTCATTTCAGCCAGAACCCTGGCGATCTTCACAGAGCACGTGAGTATATGTCACCTCTCCTTCCAAAGGGACCATGGCTCCACCAAAGTCTTTCCTGTCTCTGCAACAGACAATCAGGGAACAGCAGGAAAAGACCTCCACACGGAAAGCAAGACACAAATACGACACAAAGTACCTGAAACAAACAACTCTCAACTATTTTCACCCTGGAGAAACAGCTAAAAGCCCTTTGATATGAAGTTGATCAACTCTTCATGTTTTCATTGCGTTGAGTAGAAATTATTAAAATTAATTTGTAAATGTACTTAATGGCATAAGGAAATTATCATTATATAAACATAAGTGTGAAAATTGGCTTCAACATTCATAATTCTTAATTTCTAACCTTGTAAGTATACGTGCTCCCATTCTGGGGAAACTTAACAAGATATGAGTGATGATGAGTTTCCATTCATTTTTATTCTAGTCTCCATGATATTTTTATATTTTCTATGACTATTATTTGATTGTTTAAAATAATGGAAAATAAAAAATATGGTTTCTTTTGTGTCACTTAATTATGTGTGTGTGTGTGTGTGTGTGTGTGAGAGAGAGAGAGACGGGGCTGGGAGGGTCACTCGGCTGGGGTGTGTGTGTGTGTGTGTGTGTGTGTGTGTGTGTGTGTGTGTGTAGACATGTGGACGGATGTGTGTGTGTGTGTGTGTGTGTGTGTGTGTGTGTGTGTGAGAGAGAGAGACAGGGCTGGGAGGGTCACTTGGCTGGTGTGCGTGTGTGTGTGTGTGTGTGTGTGTGTGTGTGTAGACATGTGGACGGATGTGTGTGTGTGTGTGTGTGTGTGTGTGTGTGTGTGTGTGCTGTCCCAAATATTTTTCAGTTATCTCTAAAGATTCAGCAACAATAAAAGCTACCAATAATTTCTGGGAAATCAATAATCCCAGAGCAGACTAACCACAGGGAGAGGGACCTCAACTTTAGCAGCTTTTCACAGCATGCCACAACAATTACTTTATATTTTCACACACTAATTAAGGCCCAAGGACAAGGCATTGCTTACAGGCTAATATCTGCCAAGTCACCCCCAAGGGCAAACCTTTCCTTTAAGTCTAGTTATATAAAATCAATTTATTTTTCATTTTTGCATGGCAGAATTGTGTGCGAGGTCAATTTAACTCATTTCAGATTGATTTCTTATGCAATAAATGTATAGTTCAATTATTTATTTATAGTGTACAAAACATGAACTTCATGCATCATGCTGCATGTGGTATAAGCTTGTTCTTCTTCATCTCATGAATATGCACCATTAATTATTCCCGCATGCTGATGAATGGACTTTTCATTGGCTTTCACTTGGGTTTACTGTACATAAAGCTTTGTGTTTGCACAGATGCAATGCACTTCCCCACCCTCCTAGCCACGTCCGAATTGCCTATTACGCAGAAAGCACAGATTCGGGTAGATACATATTTTCTGAAGTGGATATGGAAGTATATTTTTTATCCAAAATAATGTATAAATAATATTTTCATTTTTTAGAATGTATAAATATGGTAGTTGTTGCAGATCCTCACCAGTGCTGAAATGGCCAAATTTCCATAGTTTTTTTTGTGTGTTTTCTGAGTTACATTTTATTCTCGCTTTATCAGTCCAGCCAGTGAAAGATTTTGTTTCCAGTGGTCTTTCAACACTTAATTTGTTGATCTATTCATGAAATGTCATGATTATAAAGTAAATTAAAAGACTTAATGAAAAAAGAACAGACAAGTGTATCCCTATATTCTCAGAATTATATCTATGAACTGCATGGAATCTGTTCTTATATTAAAATTTTTCAAAAGAAAAGTTTTACCTTTCATGAAATTCATTATTTCAAAAAGTATTTTTAAATTTAGGACTTTTGTGGTCTGTTTATGAACATCTTTGCCTATCCCAATGCCATGAAAAGGTTTTTTACTTCTACAAGTTTCTTTTTATCTTCTAAATTAAGTCTATGCTGTTTCTGTTCTACTGCGCATCGGAAAGCTGGGTTGCGTTATTTCTCAATACTGTTTCTCTCCTACCTGCCTTTGTGTGACCACGTGTATTCCTTATCTCAACTCTGCATCCCTTAAACAAATCCCATGTGCAGCTTCTTAATCCCAAATTGAATGGAACTGTTGCCAGTTTCTGGGTGAGGATGTTAGTCTGACTTCTGCTGCATATGAAGCACGTTGTCCGAGGCTGGGGACGAACACACTAACACAGAGGGTGGGGCGCTGGGTAAGGAGTGTGGGTCGCCGGATAAGGAGTGTGGGTTGCCGGGTAAGGAGTGAGGGTCACTGGGTAAGGAGTGTGGGTTGCCGGGTAAGGAGTGAGGGTCGCTGGGTAAGGAGTGAGGGTCGTTGGGTAAGGAGTGAGGGTTGCTGGGTAAGGAGTGTGGGTCCTTGGGTAAGGAGTGTGGGTTGCTGGGTAAGGAGTGTGGGTCCTTGGGTAAGGAGTGTGGGTCCTTGGGTAAGGAGTGAGGGTCGCTGGGTAAGGAGTGAGGGTCGCTGGGTAAGGAGTGTGGGTTGCTGGGTAAGGAGTGTGGGTCGCCAGGTAAGGAGTGTGGGTTGCTGGGTAAGGAGTGAGGGTCGCCGGGTAAGGAGTGAGGGTCGCTGGGTAAGGAGTGTGGGTTGCTGGGTAAGGAGTGTGGGTCGTTGGGTAAGGAGTGAGGGTTGCCGGGTAAGGAGTGAGGGTCACTGGGTAAGGAGTGAGGGTTGCCGGGTAAGGAGTGAGGGTCGCTGGGTAAGGAGTGAGGGTCGCTGGGTAAGGAGTGTGGGTTGCTGGGTAAGGAGTGTGGGTCGCCAGGTAAGGAGTGTGGGTTGCTGGGTAAGGAGTGAGGGTCGCTGGGTAAGGAGTGAGGGTCGCTGGGTAAGGAGTGTGGGTCGTTGGGTAAGGAGTGAGGGTCGTTGGGTAAGGAGTGTGGGTTGCTGGGTAAGGAGTGTGGGTTGCTGGGTAAGGAGTGTGGGTTGCCGGGTAAGGAGTGAGGGTTGCCGGGTAAGGAGTGAGGGTTGCTGGGTAAGGAGTGAGGGTCGTTGGGTAAGGTGGTCATTTCCCCCAGTACTTCAGATTCTGTCTTGCCTCTTGTCCTCCAGTGTTTGGAATCAGTTACTCTGTGTCTTTTTTTAGATTTATTTATTTTTATTGCAAAGTCAGATATATAGAGAGGAGGAGAGATAGAGAGGAAGATCTTCCATCCGATGGTTCACTCTCCAAGCCACCACAACGACCAGAGCTGAGCTGATCCGAAGCCAGGAGCCAGGAACCTCTTCCAGGCCTCCCACATGAGTGCAGGGTCCAAAGAATTTGGGCTGTCCTCGACTGCTTTCCCAGGGCACAATCATGAAGCTGGATGGGAATCGGGGTGGCCTGCATTAGAACCAGCACCCATAAAGGATCCCAGCACATTCAAGGTGAGGACTTTAGCCGCTAGGCTACTGCACTGGGCTTAAGATGTATCTTTTATCCAACCTAGGGAGGTGCGTGAAATGACTTTAAGTTACAATACTGTTGACAGACGAAAAACCCTACTTCTCCAAGTATTCTACTTAACATTGGGGGGAAAAAGATGTCTTTTTATAAAGTGCATCTTAGTCTTTATGTAAAAATGAAAACTTATGAAATCTCTGTATGAAGTTTCTTAAAGAAAGAATATTCATCCTTGAATTATATTGTATATGAATTTACTTACAAAATAATACTAATGTTTTTAAGGTTTATTTATTATTATTGGAAAGAAAGATTGCAGAGAGAAGAATCTTCACTGCTGGTTCTCTCCACACCTGGGGAGCTTTCTCCCTGAAGCTGTGCCTTCACACATCACCCCAGCTTGCCAGTGTGGCAGATTTAGGGTTTGTGGAACCCTTTGTGCAATCTACTTCCCACCATTGTATGGAACACCAGACTTGGGGGTTATCAACGGTAGATGACTTTTGGCTCATGATCCTGGAGGCTTTTCAGGCCACAGTTGAGGGGCTGTATCTGTTCAGGATTCTGTGGCCACAGCATTCCCTGACAGAATAGCACAGATAAATCAAGGATAGAAAACAACAGAGCCTGCAGCCGTAAGCCTTCCATACTGTGCATGATTCTTCCACGAAGAGGGAACTTAAGCAGCCACAACCTCCCAAAATATATGATGGACATGGCTGTCTCCTTCCTAGCTCATTGTGGCAGAGAATTTTGCTGCCGCTGTGGCTCTGATGATCTTAAAGAGCTGCACCCACAAGTGTCAGTGCTCTCTCATCCTAGGGGACTGTGAGCCCTCCTGGGTGTGTGCATGGTCTCGGTGGAGGCTGTGTCTTTTGAGTGAACTGTTAGCGCAAAGAGACTAGCACCCAGTGTACCCCCTTGGTCTTGTGCCACCATCTCTGCCACATCCACCCCATCAGGTAGTGAAGCAAGTCTTCATCTACAATGGAGCTTTTCCAGGCAGTTCAAGTCATCTAACTCCTACTGATGCATCAGGAAGGAATCCAGGTGGCAAACTCAGCAACATTCTGAGCGTGAAGTGGCACAGGGCGCAAGCCGTGTAGATACTTGCATTATCAAGTATTGCTCTAGATAGATTGTTCTCAGAAATAATATCTGGCAGTATAGGTGACAAACTCCTGGAGTCGAATTCTCATTTTGAGATGAACTTGTGGCATTTAATTCCATTTGTATTGATCTATGGAGATGATAAACTATAATGAAAGATTGTCCTTGCAAAAACCATTTCTGCAAACCCTTAGCTTAAGCTTCCAAGTGGAAGCTTAAGATTCCCTGTGGAATCTGTTCCATTTATCACCTGGCATACTCTAAAAGGGTTGGTTCTAAACCAGTTCTAAGCAATGAGGTGGGAGCTTGGAGCTGATGCTTCACTTGAGTGAGTTCTTGTGTATCCTGGAAACAGAAAGACCAAGATGATGTTATAACTGCTTGTTGTAATAATTGTCATTTCTTATATCCATTACCTTAATGTATGTAACTCTAGCAGATTTCATGATTTTACACAGAAATGGGAGTCTTCATAATCAAGGCTCTGCAGTGTTGAAAAGCCAAGGGTCTTTGCATTCAGGATACTCTTCCACATCAAAGAGAAAATACTTAGTCACACCTGTTGCCAAGAAGGGATTCTGGAAACACACACAGAAAATCCTATTATGTTAGCTGTTACAGAAACGCCCAATAAAGAATGGTCATAAGCTAGAAAGAGGATAGAATGGGCAATTGCAATATACTCCATCTGCAGATCTGGTCCTCTGGTGGGGCAACAAATATGACTCAATGCCAACATGTTTGTCACTTTGTTCTGGAATGACTGTATTTAGAATTTAGGTTATTGGTGCTTTAGGAACCTTAGCATTTTGTCACAATGAGGATATTAACAACTCCTGGAAATGGAGCTGGCACATAGAATAGCTATGTTGAGGAGTGTGAGCTATTGAATGGAAGAACAGTAAGCATGAACAAAATATACAGCAAGACTACTTGTTAAGTAGATGTACAAAGCCATGATACCAGTTAATTTTAAGTAATATTATATATCATATATCATATGCATACATACATATTTTAAAAATAAAGGGCAGTATTTTATTTTGTTGCGGGTTTGAAGCTTTAAAATTTTTTTCAGGAAAATAATATCCAAATGACAACGAGCCTTAACATGTCTACATGTCAGGGACTAGGTCAATTCACATACCTGAGATTGTCAAGCCCATAGGAAACTATAGGTAGACATCCTTTGCAGAGTGCAGATGGGAGCTGCTGCTACCTGAATCCAACATGCTGGCACCTCCTCTGCAGAGCACAGAGGCGAGCTGTGTGACGAGTCCAACTCGCTGCTCCACCCCAAGAGTGTGAGGACAGGAGACCTGAGCACCAGTGGACTGTACAGTGACATACCTCCTTTGCTCCCCACAGAGAGGCTCTGGAGGCATTGGCATCGATCATTGGGTTAGGCTGAGTGATCTGAAACTGACAGAATTTTTAAAAAAGGAAAAAAAGAAAACTTTGTCCATAAGAGTTAAGAAATGAGGACATTATAAAATGAGGGCTCCCTGTACTGAGCTTGGGTGTAGTTGTGTATCAGGAAAACTGACTGGCTGCTGAAAATTCTACTGAGAAGGTAGCATCGTGTAGCAGATGGAGGGAAGTATTCTGTTCAGGGGAGCAGCCTGTCCTTGTCATCAAATGAGCGGACAAGCAACCTACGGCACACACTGAAAGAAGTGAGTTAAGATTAATCATTGAGAAAATGAATGAAAGGACAGAATGGAATCTGGAGCCTTGAGCCCTTCTGGAGGAGACAAAAGGAAAAGACAGAGCACAAAAAGCCAGTGAGTACACGCCACGAGCAACTGGAGAGAAACTGGGAGGCCTGGGTCCACTGAGCTCTGGGATGGAAATGAAAGGATAGAAACTGCTTAGTTGGCAACAATTTCAGAGTTACTGAAATCCCAGCTATGTGTCTGATAATGGGGACTATGCAGAAAATAAGAGGATCAAGAAGGAGGCAAGGAGAGAATGGCCAGGTGTGAATGGAGGGACTCCCTTGATCAGCTGGAACAAGCAGGTTCCAGCTGGAAGAGGAAGAAGAGCAGAACTGAAGTAGCCAGCGGATGATGCCTGTGCCCACACAATAGGGAACATGTGGCTCAGCGATCTAGGCAACAAACAAGCTGCTAAGACTGAGAATGGAGGCTGAGGTGTACAAGAACGGAAGCAGAGAAGGAGTGAGTGATTAAATCAGGAATTCGGCAGAGTCATTCAGTGATATTCAGGACTAACTGGAAGTTGGTGGTCATCAGTGTAAAAGAAAACCAACCACCATAGCCTCTGCATTGTCTGCTCAGATTTGATCAACTCATCTCTTACCTCTTCCTCAAGGCAATGTCACTGTTGCTATGCGGGGATCGCCATAGTGAATGTGAGCTGATGGCTTACTGTGCACACTGAACTTTGATAGGTTTCCAAAATGCACTGAAGCCATGGAAAAACTTACAAACCTCAGTGGGAAGAGTTGTGAAGGTTGTGGCAATGTTAAGATCCTATGGAAAACATCATGCAACAAATGAAAGCTTACACCAGGAGCTCTTTGTTTCCTGACAGTGCACTGAATTAACTGCGTATGTTTACACAGCCTAATACAAAGGGAATAAAAACACTTAGAATCGAGGAGCCTCCTTAGAACCTGGATTTGAGGAGTGAAGCATCCTGAACATCTAATTTCTATGTTATCTAGAAAATAAAGAGTATGGAAACAATATATATCATCTCTCCATACAGTTGCTTTCATATTGTTGTCTGTAATGTTATGCTTAATGCTGAATAAATATCCATTCTCCAATCCCTTTTCTCAACATGATGGCAGTTACTAGTTTTGTTGCTTTAATTATACAAAGTGTGTAAGGCACTTGGCAATGTACCTAAATTATACAAAGTGTTCATGTTGTGTTTGTGGTTGTTGTTTTGGTTAAACTTAGAATACACTAAGAAAGCAAGCATATGTGGCAATTTCTCCAATTCAAAAACTCATGTTTTGTGTAATCTCAACCCTAGGCATGTCCAGAAAAGTTAGTGAATCAAACATGGAGACTCACACATGATTGTCTTATGGCTTTGCAGTGTTTGGCCTTCTGGCTTCATTTCTGAAGGATCAAGAATAAGAACCTGCCCCTTGCAAGGGGGAGATGAGAAGTGTTATGCAGAGCATGAGGCTGAAAATGAAGACATGAACTGCAACAGCATCCAGGAGCCACTGAGCTCTCCCCAAGAAGACAGAGCCTAAAAGAGGGGAATAGTACAAGAAAACACATGTTCCAAGCAAAGTAGCAATCTCCTAGTCCGGAAGCTACAAGCCAGACAAATGGAGACGGATTCTTCCAGCAAATGAAGACGCCAATCAGTTCAGCAGCAATGTGAAGCTAGGTGCTGTTTTGTGGCAATTTAAATGTCTGGTTTGTCACATTTCCCTTTAGTCTGGAAAAACACATTATTTTGTCTCCAGTGATTTGTGCATTTGCTCTTATCCTTTCCTGCAGTGAAACGGAGTTGGTGGAAACTTGG